TGATAAGAAAAATGAATCAGCAGCTGAGGGAGGCTCTTACCCATCAGCACTGCCCAATATGGTATCCCTCCTCTGTAGTTTTACTTTGAGCTTTATCAGCTCTTAGAGTAAGAAGAGAGAAGTCAGGCAGGGGGTGGAGGTGGGGTTAAAAGGTGGCAGAGGAGAGGAGGACCAAGAGATGCCAAGCCCACAGCTTTGAACCCTTGTACCAGTTTCTCTCAGAGGAGAAGCTGCACTATCGTAGTGCTCGAACCAAGGAGCTGGATGCATTGCTGGGGGACCTGCACTGTGAGATCCGGGGTGAGAAGAGGCTGTGGAGGGGTGGACAACTTGGGGATGCTTCTAACAGGCTCCTCTTCTGCTCTGTCTCTCTCATTCTGACTTTGCATCTTCCCCTCTGAATGTCTCAGGGCCTCAGACTGTATCTGCACACCTGTTTCCTGGTCCCTCTATGGCCTCTGGCTTTCCCTCACTTTTCTCTGGACCTAACCCCCCATTCCCTCCTTCATATACTCCAGACCAGGAGACCCTGTTGATGTACCAGCTACAGTGCCAGGTGCTGGCACGGGCAGCTGTCTTGACCCGGGTGTTGGACCTTGCCTCCCGCCTGGACGTCCTGCTGGCTCTTGCCAGTGCTGCCCGGGACTATGGCTACTCAAGGCCCCAGTACTCCCCCCAACTCCTTGGGGTACGAATCCAGAATGGCAGGTGAGAATAGAGGGTGTGGAGGCATAGACATGAGGGGCCCAAAGGCCCCATCTTCTGGGGGTTTCATCTATCTGGAACCATGGGCCATGTGAGGTGCCTCTCCACCCACTGTAGACATCCTCTGATGGAACTCTGTGCCCGAACCTTCGTCCCCAACTCCACAGAATGCAGTGGGGACAAAGGGAGGGTCAAAATCATCACTGGACCTAACTCCTCAGGGAAGAGCATATACCTCAAACAGGTAAGGAGAAGCCCTACAACATGGGCCTCTGGCATCTTTTCCATCTTCTTCACCCCCAACCTGCCAGCCAACCCCAGTCCCTACAGCTCTTCTCCCCCATGTTCTGACTCCACCTGTCATGAAAAGGCCATCACTCACACCTCCTGCTCTTCTACCTTACATGTTCTTCTCTACCTGAGGGAGAGCCAGGCTCTAATAGATCTTTCCCTGGACTGAATTCCCTTCACCCACATCTCAAGAGGTACATGCCATTCCCAAGTATGCCTCTGCTCACTCCCCTGTCTCTCTCTACTGATTCTAAAGTGAGCATAAAGGTCCCTGATCAGGATTGGGGGAGGATAGGGACAATGTGTTCTATTACCTCTTTTCTTCTGTTACGCTGTGTCCATCTCTCTTTGATCTATCATTTACACCCTCAGTTGAGCCTCACTTTCAGGCCAGACCACAGCACCAGGCCCTAGGCCCTGTCTCCACTCCTATTCAGGTAGGCTTGATCACATTCATGGCCCTGGTGGGCAGCTTCGTGCCAGCAGAGGAGGCCGAAATTGGGGCAGTAGATGCCATCTTCACCCGAATTCATAGCTGCGAATCCATCTCCCTAGGCCTCTCCACCTTCATGATCGACCTCAACCAGGTCAAAGGGAGTAAAGGGAAGTGGGGTTGGGGGAGGAGATAATGGAGAAGGAATTTGACCATTATCAAGTACTCAGAACAGGAAAGCATTCCCTCTGCTACGCGCACTTTATACTAGGGGCGGGGGACACCCAGGTCAGAGACTGGAGGAGTCAATACCGTAGACATTTCTTGAACCCTTGCTTCATGTGAGACACTGTTATCAATCAAAGGGTGAACAAAATGTGCACCTCACCAATTAGGAACTGCAGTGCAGTAGGGTGGACACATATACAAACAACCTTATTCACAGGCAGACCATGGTCAGTGTGTTACAGGCTTCGAATGCTAACGAAACTCTCCCTTATCCACCTCATGCCCAGCAGGTGGCGAAAGCAGTGAACAATGCCACCGAGCAGTCTCTGGTCCTTATTGATGAATTCGGAAAGGGAACCAACACGGTGAGAGAAGGAACTGATGAGGCATTAAGGAGGGGAAAATGGAGGAGGATGAAGGAGCATGAGGGTGAGGCCAGGCCTCAGGAAAAGAATAGGGATGTGTGGGCAGGAAAGAAGCAGAGAACAGAGATGAGAAAAGGCTGGGCGGGTGCACAGGGGCACATGGGGCTCCCATGGCTCCACATCCTCACTGTTGCCCTCTGTGCAGGTGGATGGGCTTGCACTTCTGGCCGCTGTGCTCCGACATTGGCTGGCGTTGGGATCCATGTGCCCCCACATCTTTGTGGCCACCAACTTTCTGAGCCTTGTACAGCTACAGCTGCTGCCACAAGGGCCCCTGGTGCAGTATTTGGTGAGGAAATCAATCTAGCCCCTAGGGGATCCTGGGCTGAGTGTTTCCCAGTGGTGGGTATTGCTCCTCTATCAGAACAGGGGCTCCCTGAGCACAGGGACCATGTCCCTTCCCTTTTCTCACTCCCCACAGGGATTGGCCAAGGGTTTCAGAGCAGGAAGCAGGGTGATTGATGACACACTGTCCCTTTTTATTCTCTTTCAAGACCATGGGGACCTGTGAGGATGGGAACGACCTTGTCTTCTTCTATCAGGTTTGCGAAGGTGTTGCCAGTGCCAGCCATGCCTGCCACACAGCTGCCCAGGCTGGGCTTCCTGACAAACTCATTGCTCGTGGCAAGGAGGTGATGAGATCAAAACATCCAACCACCTTCTCAGGGCTCCTTTCCATTGTCCCTACTCCTCTTGGGGACTGGGGTTTCTAGGTCCACAGGATTTCTGACACTTATCTCCTCTTCTCTTCCCCAACTTCCCCCACGTCTACCACCTCCCTTGTTGTTCTTAGGTCTCAGATTTGATCCGCAGTGGAAAAACCATCAAGCCTGTCAAGGAGTTGCTAAAGGAGAACCAAATGGAAAAGTGAGTGTGTGGCCCCAGTGTCTTCACTCTCTCTAGCTTCTTCTATGGCTCTTCTCGCCTTTGCAGGGACTCAGCCCACCTTCCTCCAGCACTTTGCCCTTCAAAGACCCACTATTTCTTTCTGAAATCCCTAAATCTTTAAGGTCTCAGATTTCCTGTGCCACAGCCTCTTCCCTCTACTCAGGGGCTTGGTTATTCATTCCCCCATAAATCTCACCATTCTCTCCCCTTCAGTTGTCAGACATTAGTGGATAAGTTTCTGGAACTGGATTTGGAAGATCCCAACCTGGACTTGGACATTTTCTTGACTCAGGAAGTGCTGCCTGCTGCCACTGCCATCCTCTAAGAGTTCTTCCTTTGCCTCCCCAACTTGGCAAGACCTTGGTGGGCTGCCTTGTCCTCTTTGTTTCCTTGTCTCTTTCAGACCCATAGTTCTCAGTTTCCCTAGAAATTTTGTTTCATATTAGGAATAAAGTTTATTTTGGAGAAAGTTACTGTTTCCTTAGGCCAGCCAAAACAAAACACGAGAATAGGAAAGAGCTGAAACACAGAGCAGGAGTCCAGAGAGGGAACTGCCCTCACTAAAAATACAGTGACACTGCTGTAAGGAGACCCTTGGATTCTATCCAAGGGGACTTCATAAGAACAAACTACTTCAGAAAGACCCTGCGGGGGGGGGAAAAAAAAAAAAAAAGAAAGACCCTGCGGGGGGGGGGGGGAAAAAAAACCAAAAAGAAAGACCCTGCGGGCCAAGCCCGTGGCGCACTCGG